ATATTAGTTATACAATTTTTAATATGTTTAGTTGTACGAGTTATACTAGTTGTATTAGTCGAATATGAGATGAGATAAGAAAGATTGTGTGGCTGTAAGTGCTTGAGATTAAAAAAAATAAAAAAGAGAAGGAAAGATATAAAGAATCGTGTGGTCAAGATTAAAACATAGATGATAAGATCCAATGGTTCATGTTATTCATTCATTAAGGGTAATATTGTAATCTATAGATACTTGGTCTATGTAGACTAAATTTGGTGGTGTGAGATTTTTTTTTGGTCATTTGATCCATATCAGAATTTGGTACATGAAACAATCTAACAAACAAATCAAATGCTGGAATGAGACAAAAGGGTTCGAAAAAATCTGGAATAGACCTCCACTATTTTTAATTAAAAATTGAATTAAAAATAAATCTGTATAATAATGATTCACTTTTGAAGCTGCTAAGGCTATCCACATCAGCAGCCGAGTGGGCCCTGCGTATTTAAATTTTAAAAACTTATATATTTTTTAAAATGACTATAAACAATGAATACACTTTAGCAAAGTGGTATAAGGCATTTAATTAAGTCTGCAAGTGTGTGGGTTCAAACCACGCAGCTGTTATGTATTTTAGTTTTTTTCGTTTGGATTATTATCATATGGGATTTTTAGTTTTAATGTTTTTATGTTTTTTTTTCCTCTGGACTTATTGTTTAAAGCCCAAAATAGTGGAAAAAATCCTAAAGTTTGACGAACTCAAACCCAAAAACAATTAAAAATGGATCAAAAAACGAATATCAAAAAAAAAAAAAAACGAGTCTCACGCGGCATTATCATATCCTAATATATATTTTTACTGTTAGAACATATTTCCTAATATATATTTTCAAAAAATTATGTATGTGAAATAAAATAAAATAAATAGTTTTGTTATTTATAAAATAACTATGTAATTTCTCTTCAATTTTTAATAGTTACTATAATTTCATTTTTATCAGACTCCGGCGGATGGATTTCCACAGTCGATGACGCCGTAAAGAAAAATACCACATTATTCATGTACAAAATCCAAACTTACAAAAAAACATATCCAAACCTATCTATTGAAATCCAAACAACAAATATTAGCTTAAATTAAAGTTATTTTCAAATTGATAAATCGTTTAGTACAAATATAAATATTATAAATAAAAATTTATATCAAGTTTTGACATCCGATATAAAAACTATTTCCAACATAAAAAAAACAATATAGACATCTATTTTGTACACTAAAAACTATATTATTATTTAGTTATTCATATAAACCTTATTTCGCATATAAATAACATTTAACACATTATATATAAAATATTTTCACTTTGCACTCTTGCTACATTCTTTCCATTTCTTCATGATTTGGTATTATTAGAATAACCCACTAAACCAACAACCGAAAAAAACACAGATCCCGGCCCCGCGCTTGCGCGGGGGTTATGCAGCTAGTAGAAATAATGGAGAAAAGAAACTTAAACATATTTACTAACTTATGCCATTATTATCCTGTCCAGATCCGACCCAGATCCAGACCCAAAATCTGCCCCAATTTTAACCTTAATGTTTCTTCTTCTTCTTATTCTTTCTCCATTAATGTCTTTCACTTTCAAACAAAATCAATAATTCATTAATGTTCTTTCACTTTCAAACAAAATCAAAAATTTTATTTAACCATACACCAAATTTATCCTTTTTATCACAAATCGATCAATCAATAGTCACATTTAGAGGGGGTTATTGGCAGAAGAATTCTAAAGGAGTTATTAAATTTTGAGATTCCATTGTTATTGGTTTATGGATTTTTAAAATCTACGTAGAATCCATTGTTATTGGGATGATAACTTTTAAATTCCACTCAAAATCTTTGTTATTGGAAAAGTTTAGTTTTCATTGATTTTAAGATTCCATTAAAATTTCTTTGTTTTTACTCACAAGACTCAACTTTACTCAACTTTGAAAATATCAACTATACTCATAAGATTTTGAAATCTATGTAATAAAATAAACCCACATACAAAAACACACAAAACCGAAGAATGAAATAATAAAAATCACTACTTTAGCATAATACAAATCACAACAATACATAGAAAATTAATAATAAAAAAATAAGATTAAAAATTTTAAAGTTTAAAATAAATTTTATAAAATAGTTTCAATAAGTATTTTTGAGTTTAAAAAAAAGAAAACTAAAAAAAAACAATCTGAAAAGAAAATTTTGATTTTTTTTTATAAAAATATTGAATTTGAAAACATATATTTCGAAATTAAAAAAACATATTTTGCCATTTATTATTTCAAGAACTTTTTTTGTTACATTTTTTTTTTAAAGAAGAGAATTACCCTAATTGAAGTTATTTTCTTTCCTTTACTCCTATCACCATTAATTTTCTACTTTAAAAGTTAATAACAATTAATTAAATTCTATACACAAGTAATGAAAATCTATGTAAAATTATTTGATTAAATTTGTTAAATCATATATATGGACAAGCCTCTGGTCAGTGTATTAACTTTGAAAAATCTTCTTTACTCTTTGGTAAGAGTTTTGGACAAGATGTTAGACATGAAATTAAAGACAACCTTGGAATTCAGAATGAAGGGGGAATGGGAACATATCTAGGAATTCCAGAGGACATCAGTAGGTCTAAATGCAAGTTCTTTGCATTTCTAAAAGATAAGTTAAGGAATAGAGTTAACGGATGGACATGTAGGTGGCTATCAAAAGATGGCAAGGAGGTTATGATCAAGTCAATCTTACTAGCACTGCCAATTTATGTCATGTCTTGCTTTCTTCTACCATTAGAGATATGTGATGCTTTAGCTAGTGCCATTACACAGTTTTGGCGGAGCTCAAACCCCCCAAAAAGAGGCATACACTGGTCAACATGGGACAAATTATGTTTGACTAAGGAGGAAGGTGGGATTGGTTTCAGGATAATCCGTGAATTTAACCTGGCATTGCTAGCAAAGTAGTTATGGAGGCTGGTTCAATACCCAGATTCTCTGGTTGCTCGTGTTTTGAGAGGGCGATATTATCGATTAAGCTCGCCGTAGCGTCAGCTTACTATTAGTAGTCCATCATACGTGTGGACAAGTCTATCGGCGGCACGAGAATTACTCTTATTGGGTGTTAGAAAAAAGATACATTCGGGCTATGAGGTGAAAGTATGGGAGGATCCATGGATTCTTACTATACCAGCGAGACCGGCGTCCCCATGTGCACCGGTGTTGCATCCTAACATGAGAGTGAGCGACCTTATTAATCAAAAAACCAAGACTTGGGATGCGACAAGGCTGGAAAACTACATAAATGCTGCTGATATAACTCTCATAAAGAGTATGTCAATTAATTCTACACATCGCAGGAACACATATTGCTGGAGCTATACAAGGAATGAAAAATATACAGTCAAATCTGGATATTGGGTTGCACGGAATATTTTAAAGCAGTAAGAGGTGTCTGTAGTTAGTGAACCGAGTATCACTAAACTACAAGCACAAGCTTGGAAGGTACGGGGCCCCCAAAAGATGTGCCATCTTATGTGGCAATTAATAACAGGTCATGTGGCTGTTACAAGTACCTTAAACTATAGATATATAAGGTGTGACAATTACTGTCCACGCTGTGGAGAACCTGAAGAATCTATTACACATGCAATTTTCTTGTGTCCACCTGCAAAGCAAGTTTGGTCCTTATCGTCGACGCCTACTAGCCCTACATTGTTTCCACTTCAGAGCACATATACGAATATGGATTATCTCTTTTGGAGGAAGAATACCATAGCAGAACCAGATTTAGGCATGGATCCCTATTCTTGGCTTATATGGTATATCCGGAAGGCTCAGAATGAAAAATTGTTCAAAGGGTTTGATAGAGATCCATTGGAGTTAGCCTGATATGCAGAAAGTGAATGTCAAGCATGGTTCCAAGCCAACAAGCAGATTTCTTTGTCATCTCAAGGAAACGTGGATGTTGACAACTAGGCCATAAGTCTGGGGAATATCTGTATGGTGGATGGCTCTTGGACCTCTACAGCTCGTTTCAGTGGATGTGGATGGGTATGGAATGATAATATGGGGAGTAGTCAGTTGATGGGAATGCGTAACTTTGATAGAGTGGAGTATGCTTTGCACTCTGAGCTGGAAGCACTGCGGTGGGCAATGGAGAACATGCTTCAACATTCGCCATGTCAGAGCTTTGGGACGGACTGCAAGAAATTGATAACAATGCTCAGGAATCCACAGGATTGGCCAAGTTTCTCAACGGAACTGGAAAAGCTAATGACATTGCGGATTTGCTTCCCAGACTTTAAGATTTTCTATGTTCCTAGGACACATAATGCTTTTTCTGATTCCCTAGCTAAGACTGCTCGATCTTTTTATCGAGAATTGATGTATGTTAGTTGTTCTATTCCTGTCTGGATTCCCATACCACCTCAAGCTTGAGTAATAGATCAGCCGTTTGTTGTCAAAAAAAAAAAAGCTGTCCACGTGTGCATTTCATAAATACTGTAGGCCATTTTTTTTTGTAACATACTGTGGGCCATTAAATTTCCGGTTTTCGTCGATATGTTTGTATTTTGGTCTGGTTTAGTTTGTCCGAATCGGATTGTAGATCTGGAAAATTTATGTTGCTCTTCTCAATCTCTTAACCTTCCCTGTTGTTTTCTCTTCACCTCCCCTGTGATTCAATGTCTTTCTTTTAATTCGGGAATAATTCTCATAAATGGTGCCTCTTCCGTTTCCTTCACTTGGAATCTATATATATCAGATGGTTGAAAGCATGATTGATCCTCAAAAGTCAGTTTATCATTTTATAAATCGTAGAAAGATTCCTAAAGATGGCTTCCTCCGATGATTTTCCCGCGCAATCGCTCTCGACTTGGTATATCTGCCCAGTTCTTTGATTTTGTAAAAAGCCAATGATCTAAATCTCTGATTTTTCGTTTTTATTTTCCATTCTTAAGGCTTCTATAATGGCCAACGACCAGAAAACCGAGAAAGATGTTTCTGCTGATTCAACGACTTCTCTTCTCAGTGAGGTTTGTACCGGGTTTCACGTCTTCTGGATTGGTAAGAGTTTCAGTGTTTTCTTCGATTGTTTTTTCTATGTAAATGGGTATTAATTTTAACTAACGGTTAGGAGACTCTAGAAATAGATACTTTTAGCCAATAGTGGCGAATCGTCTCTTATTTCTTAGGCTATGGCTCAGGAAGAAGAGCAGCTGCTCAAACTTCGGGAAGGTGAGGAGAAAGCTAAATCTTCTTTTTTCCTTTTTCTTGGTTGCTTAAAGAACGTGATTTTTCTTAATTGATTTAGTGTGCTTTTTGCTCGAATGGGATAGAAGGGGAGAACCAAAAAGCTGAGCCCGAGAATAAAGAAGGTCAGGACGCAAAAGAAATTAAGTCTGCTACTCAGTGTAAGTTCAATAAATATACTTCATCTACTCTCATGATTGTTTTATTTTTTTGGTCAACTTGCTTGGATGTTGGATGCTTTGTTCTTCATTCAGATGAAGACTAAGAAAGCTGTTACTGCTATGATTTCCAAATCTAAAGAAGGTCATGAATCTGCCAACTCATATCTGACAGAGGAAGAAAGAGTCATGAAAGAGCAGAGTGAATTCATGGGAATCTACTCCTCCACGATTTGAGATCATCATCATCGAGATATGCATTTGCACATTGAGGAAATGTCTTACGAGGTGAGCCATTCATTACTCTTTACCATGTTGTTATCATAGTTATGTATTTAGCAGCTGCACATTGTCTGTCTTCAGAATTATGTTGTGAATCTCGTAGTTTTCTGTGATAACGTTTATGTTTTTTTGTTGAAACTGATTTGATAACACATTGGTCTGAACAGGAGCTTCTTGTGTTGCATGAGCGGATTGGAACTGTAACACTGGTTTGACAGAGGAAGATCTCAAGAGCCATATGAAAACAAGAACATGTTTTGTAATCAACCTTGCAGAAGAATCACCCTCGTCTCCGAAAATTAAACATAAAACTGAATCTTGCACCATATGTCAGGTAACAAATATAACCAAAGATGAAGCTTTTAAAGGCTGCATATGCTTGGGTTTTAAGAGATATCTTAATTTTTTTTTTTTGCAGGAAAACTCAAAAATGAAAAAGATTACTTTGGCTTGTGGACATGAGTATCATGCTGAATGCTTGGAGAAATGGCTGATTGTGAAAAACCTTTGTCCTGTCTGTAATCAGAAGCATTGGCCATGGAGAAGAGAAACGTATAATAGGGAGAAGAATGATTTTTTTTTTAATATATTGGGTTTATTTCTTTACATATATTTTTTCTTTATTGCATGCATGCTTTCACCATGTTGAATTCAAAATTCAGCGGAGAAGTAAACATTTTTAGACTTTCTTCAATTATTGTGTGTTTCTTAACTTCTCCTTGCTTACTTTATTAATATTACATGCCGTCTTTACCACTAAAATGTTCGAGTCAACATGAACAACCTTAAAAGAATACCAAATTCCACAACTTTGCAATTTAAATCATATCTATCCACAATTTCCATAATATATTCCACCTTCACGGAAACACTCGGGTAGTGTAAAATCTTTTAAACCCTACTCGCCACTCTCTCCAAAACCTACGGCTCTATCCTACACTATATCTTTCCTATCATACCTATAGCATTACACTACAACCACAAACTATAGTCAACATTCCCACGCAAGCGCGGGGTTACGCCTCTAATCTAATTAATTTGTAAAATCTTCCCATCATTATCCTTAAGCCAGATCAGATAAGCCAGTTATGCCCTATCAGCTTGTGCAATGTTAGCTATAAGATAATCTCTAAGGTCCTATGCCAAAGGTTAAAAAAAGTTCAACCAGATAGAATATCAGAAACCCAGTCTGCCTTTGTTGCGGGAAGGGAGATATCTGATAACATTATGATTGCACATGAGTTGTTTCATGCCCTAAGGACCAAACCCAGTGGACGTAATAAGAGAATGACCATTAAAACAGACATGAGCAAGGCGTACGATAGAATGGAATGGTCCTTCATTGAGGCTACCATGAGGAATATGGGTTTTTCAGAAATATGGATAACATGGATTATGCGCTGTATAACATCTGTCAGGTACAAGGTACTGATGAATGGTCAGCCAAGAGGGAACATTGTTCCAGAGAGAGGTCTACGACAGGGGGATCCTCTGTCCCCTTTCATTTTTATTATGTGCACGGAAGCGCTCGTTAGCCTTCTAAATCACGCAGAGAACCAAGGGAAGATAACGGGGATGCGTATCATGCGAGCGTGTCCTTCGGTATCTCACATTCTCTTTGCAGATAATAGCCTGTTCTTTTGTAAGGCGGAACCCCGTGAATGTGAAGAAGTAATGAAAGTGGTCAAGAAATATGGACAAGCCTCTGGTCAATGCATTAACTTTGACAAATCTTCCCTACTCTTTGGTAAGAGGATTGGACATGAGGTTAGACAAGAAATTAAAGATACACTTAGAATTCAGAATGAAGGAGGCATGGGAACATATCTAGGAATTTTGGAGGATATCAGTGGGTCCAAATGCAAGCTCTTTGCGTTTCTGAAGGACAAGCTAAGAAACAGAGTTAATGGGTGGACATGAAGATGGCTATCAAAAGGTGAAAAGGAGGTTATGATCAAGTCGATTCTATTAGCACTACCAACTTATGTCATGTCCTGTTTTCTCTTGGCCTTGGAGATATGTGATGCCTTAGCTAGTGCCATTGCACAGTTCTGGTGGAGTTCTAATCCCCCAAAAAGGGGTATCCATTGGTCCACTTGGGACAAATTATGCTTATCAAAGGAGGAAGGTGGGATCGATTTCAGGTTGATCCATGGATTTAACTTGGCATTGTTAGCAAAACAATTTGTCCCATATGCCCTCCTGCAAAGCAAGTCTGGGCCTTATCGTCATTACCTACTAGCCCTTCTCTATTCCCTTTACAGAGCACATATGCGAACATGGACTATCTTTTTTGGAGGAAGAATGCCATAGGTGGACCGGCAGTAGACATGGATCCTTATCCATGGCTAATATGGTATATTTGGAAGGCTCGGAATGACAAATTGTTTAAAGGGATTGATAGAGACCCTTTGGAGACAACACGATATGCAGAGAGTGAATGCCTTGCCTGGTATCAAGCTAATGAGATGCCTTCCTTGCCCTCTCAAATAGACACGAATGGCGACAATCAGACCATAAGTCTGGAGAATATCTGTCTGGTGGATGGTTCCTGGATCTCTACAGCTCAGTACAGCGGATGTGGATGGGTATGGCAGGATAGTATGGGGAATAGTCAGCTGATGGGAATGCGTAACTTTGATAGAGTGGAGTCTGCTTTGCATTCTGAACTGGAAGCACTGCAGTGGGCAATGGAGAACATGCTTCAACATTCGCCATGTCAGAACTTTGGAACGGACTGTAAGGATATGATATCAATTCTAAGGAACCCACAGGATCGGCCAAGCTTCTCAACAGAACTGGAAAAGCTCGCGACTTTGAGGATTTGCTTTCCAGATTTTAAGATTTTCTATGTGCCTTGGACACATAATGGTTTTTCCGATTCACTAGCTAAGACTGCTCGATCCTTCTATCGAGACTTGGTGTATGTAGGTTGTTCTATTCCGGTCTGGATTACCAGACCGCCTCAAGCTTGAGTAATAGATCAGCCGTTCGTTGTCAAATAAAAAAGGCTATACTATACTAGTGCGTATATATGCATGCATTAATAAATATATTAAAATGAGACATTTGAAAAAGCGAGCGCAATCTATGCATGTCAAAAAGCTTTGGATATCTATTTTGTCCTCGATCAGTTTGTTAATAAACTAATTTATCTAAGGGAGAATTGGAAAAATGGGACACTTTGAACTTGTGTTTGTCAGAATATGATTTTTCATACTTTTGACCATTTATGGACATGTTTTACCCTTCTTTAATGGAAAATAGTAAAATGAATTTTAAAAAAGTAAAAAAATATGAAAACTGTTGTAAACTTAAGTATGACAATATATATGTTTAAAAAAAAAAAAATTTGGTATCATATTTTATTTAATCTTCTAGCCAAAGTTAGAATACGCATTCTGGTATTCTACTTAGTTTATAAATCAGATTCTAAGTGATAAACATATATATATCAAAGATATATACCGTAATCTAACATTTCTTGTATATTATGACAAAGATATATACCATAATATAACCTTTCTTGTATATTCTGACAAAGATAGAATTAGTTACGTTGTAATCTAGAAAGATGTCTTCGTTTTACCTTCAGCTTGAACACGATATATAGCCACAACGCAATGATATAATTCGGCTACATTACGTGCCAAAACATGTTATGCCTTTTACCTTATATGTCGCCTCTAGGAAGAATATGTTTCATACCGCCTATACTGTGTTCTGTGTTGGTAGTATACATATTCTAGGCAAATCCGGAAAATATGGAAATTTCCATATTCGGTTAAAGAAGTTTCCTAAATCTAAACTAAATCTACCCTAAATCTAGCAAAGAATATTTTCTCCAAATTTCACGTTCTTCTCCTCCTCCCCACGATATTTTTCTCTTTTTTTTTGTGTTTCTCTCTTCTTCATCCACACAATCATCTCTTCTCTCTATCAATACATCATGGTTCTAATCTATGTTAAATCTGGTGAATGGGTGTCTAGTTGCAGTGAAGAATGGAGTTTCGTGGTAGACAAAGCAAGGCGTGGTCGAATGATAACATTAGAAACTACTACTCCTTTAGAGAAGGTCAAGAGGATCGTGTGTGAGGATTATGGGGTGGACCATACTGTTGTGAATGCTGAGTTCAGTTATTCGATGGTGAATCAAAGAGGGAATCCTCCAATTATTATCACCAATGATCGACAATCATCTAATTTTGTGTCGTATGCAAAGAAGGATTCATCTACTACTTTGTGTGTCACGTTCTCTGGTTCTGGTGTTAATAAAAAAGAACGAGTGAATATTGATTTGAATAAGGAGCCGTGTGATTCAAGTAATATTGAGGATGAAGAAGTTCATGAGAAAAATAGAGCAGAGTTTGTGAAGCCGTCAAAGGAGTCTTGTGATAGAAGGAAGGATCATGGTTGCGCTAATGATGGTTTAGGGAGTGAAAACATTGGAGATTCTCGAAACAATGGAGATAGTGAAAAGGATGGTCGATCTTGGAGAGGAGATTTCGTGAAGAAAAATCAAATTTTCAGAAGTAAAGAGGTGTTGAAGGCAACAATGCAGGTTTTGGCTATGCAGAATCATTTCGATTACACTGTTCTGAAATCTACGAGAAAATGGTGGTATTGCCGATGTAAGGATGCATTATGCAACTGGACTGTGCGTGCAGAAGGTCTGGACGGGTCTACATATTTCATGATCAACTAGTGCGAGGAAAGACATACATGTGCTCCTTCAAAGAAAAGAAAATTCGGAAAAACAGCATCCGCAAGAACAATTGGGAGTCTAATACAACATCGATATGGTGATGCCAACGATGACCCAAAAGCAAATGACATCATTCAATTCATGAGATTGGAGCATAGTTGTGAGATTAATTATTGGCACGTTTGGGAAGCTCGTGAGTTTGCTATAGCAGCTACTAGAGGTATACCAGATCGCAGTTACGCTAAAATACCATCGTATTTGCACATGCTTAAAGAAGCTAATCCTGGGATGCATACTCACTATGAACTTAATGAGAAGGGGAGATTCATGTATCTATTTATGTCCTTTGGCCAATCAGTTAGAGGATTCTACAATGCAATGCGAAGGGTGATTGTTGTTGATGGCTATTGTTGTTGATGCAAGGCGTAAGAGAAACCATCCAAGACATAACTAGTAGTCTTATCCTTCAGCTTGTCACGATTTTTGGCTATTGAGTTGCACAGAAGATCATAGGCCGCTACTCCCCAAGGATACTTGCCAACCTTCTCAAGATCCATGACCACCTTGATGTATTTGAGGGGGATATTAGCCTTCTCATCTCTCGCTAAAACCACACAAAGAATTATGGCGAGATAGATCAGTCGTATGCGATCTGCATTCTTCCACTTCTTAACAGCTTCCTTGTCCTTATTCCACAGGTTGAAGAGTGTAAGTGATCCATCTCTTCTCCTCAACACATTTCTCCAGAAACCACCATCATATTTCCAGTCTTTGAACTCCTTAAGAGAGATATGAGTATTGCACTCAAACCCGGTTACTGCATTAAACTCTTGTAATGAAAATCGAAGTGGTCTCCTCGCAAAAAGATGAACCAAAGCTCGTGCATTTTGTAAGTCACCAGCTCCCTACACAAGAAGCTGTGTACAACTCTCGCGGAGAACCCAAGACCATTGTCATGCAGCTTAAAAATCTGAGAAAAGACTGGATCTTTTTTCACAGCTTCCAACTCCTTTGGCAGCTACTCAGTGAACTTTCGGATAATGTAGTCAATCCTGCAGCTGTTGTTGATTTGAGTCACTTGGGGCTCCTCGCCCTCCTTAAAAATCCTCTTTGGTAACTCCAGCGACATATCTAAAATCCAAGTTCAAAACTTCTTAGTTCAACATGTTAATGAGAGCAAGACAAATCTATTAAAAAAAAAATCTGTGTAATCCAAGTTCAAATCGATTTTAAAAAATCTGTGTAAAAGGGATAGTATACTACATGATCATAATTCAAGTTCAAATCGATTTTAGTCCATGTTCAAATCGATTTTTAAAACAAAAATCTGTGTAAAAGGGAAGAACAATTAGATTAAGTTCAAATCAATTTTACAAAAATCTGTGTAAAAGGGATAGTGTATTACATGCTCATAATTGAAGCTCAAATCGATTTTAATCCAAGTTCAAATCGATTTAAAAAAAAAACTGTGTAAAAGGGAAGAACAATTTGATAGTTTTAGATGAGAATCAAAAGAATAAGTAAATACCTTTTGTGAAGACTTGAGATGAAATTGTTGGAAGAACACTTCGAGCTTGAAAAACAATAACAGGAGGATGACGAAGAGGAGGGTGACGAAGACGAGATTTCGTTGTATCTTCAGTGAGATCGAAGAGGAGGATGACGAAGACGAAATTCGAGACTACATGAAGATGAAACTCTGAGAAAGATTTAGCTTCTCTGAGTTGAAGCCTAAATCGCCATGGAAGTCCCCTTGTTCTACGGCGGAGAAGAGAAGGAGGTTAATAAATTAGGGTATCGGAAACCCCTTTTGCCTTTTTCTTATTTTTAAAAGTTTTTCTTTTTTGTAATTTTTTAAGTTTTGTTAATTTTATTTAACTTTTAAATCAATTACGAAAATTATAATATATAATTTTAATTCAACTTAATTGATAAATTAGGGGTAGTTTGGTATTAACAAGAATAAAAATCCTATTTTCCAAAAATATGTGTCACAAATCCTATTGTGACAAATCCAAATTCAAAGTGTCTTTTTTTTTCCAATTTTCTCTTTATCTAAAGCAATTGGTAATCTTTTAAGGTTAAATCAATCTTCGACCTAATCATTAATTATGCTTGGTCATATCTATCAAAGCTCTATGACAATTCCTAAATTAAGCCATTGATTGCTAATTATTATTATTCTAATATTTATTGTTTTTAAGTTTGTGGATTTGTTGTCCCCAATTTTTGTTTGTTTTATTTTCATGTGATAGAACCATAGCTAAGTACTTAAGTTGAGAAGTGAGAACTAGTGGCGCATATCTCATAAGATGCAAGACTCATAACCGACGACAAAAAGACTAATAACTAAAAAACTATTAATATGTAAGAGAAAAATAACTAATATGTGAGTAAGTGACCAGCCAAACTTAACCGGCCAGATTCTTAAATTTTATCGGTCTCATAGTCCCATGTGTTTTTTTTTTTTTTGGCAACAGTTCCATGTGTTTTTATCAATGTTCGGGAACGCGCTAGGCGTAACGCGTGCGGCCGGTCAACGCCTAGCAAGTTGAGAAAAAATCGGAGATTAATTCTAAATACATTTTTCTTTATTTCAGATATATAGATCTATATTTAATGTTGTATGGGAACTTAAGAATATATATTTATGTGGTCTAGTGGTAACTGAAAACACGTTTGACCATTATGTAGAGGTTCAACTCTTCATGCCTGATATTTTAGTTGTTATTTTTAAAAGTCTCTAGTTTCATAAGTCCCACATCGAACAATATTAACATTTATCACTACAAACCTCTTCTATAAATAAGACGTAATGTTTCATAGGAAGAAAGTCAAATTGCTGTGAATCACTGAAGGCCCATATTCTAACTTGGGCCAGTAGCTAATACTTTTTTTTTTAAAAAAAAATTGGTCATAAATCCAATTTGTAACGCCTTATGTTATTAATTGGACGATTAATTGTCGAACGATTTTTAAAGCCGAGTTGGCTAAAATCGCGAACAGCGATTTCTCGGCCGCAAACGCAGTGAATCAGTAGCGTTTTAGAACATTGGTTTTTATGGCTCTTATTCATTGATCGTATTTATTCTATGGCAATTATTATGAATGTTACACTATGGTCCGTAACATAGCTCAGTTATTATATTTTTTTTGCCAAGGATAGCTCAGTTATTTTCTGGTGGTTGATGTAGCAAGTGACAAATTTCTTCACCGAATTTCGCTATTGTCTGCTAAAACAAGAATGGTTACCACGTACATTGATAATAAAAATATTAACAATATTATACAAAAAAATATTTTACAAGGAAAATACTTGAGATGGGAACAAAAATCCATGTGAGAGAAGGTATTAACAAATCTACCCTCAGTTCTCATACAAAAAAAAAAAACTTCCACAATCAAATCCCAAAAATCCAAAAGTATATTACATATAATCTGCATATTAATCAATCAGACAAGAAAAACTAATGTATTATTTTTTATGGGTTTTTTTACCAAGATCTGATGGATTTCATGACACAAGACAGATTATAGATGAGTACTGTTGTTGATGTTAGCTACATTGGTCGTCTCGTAAACTGGCAAGCCTCCACGAGACAACTCGTAGTTCTGCAACTCAAATAGATCAGAACTTGAATCACTCTCCATTCCATCATCATATCCCTCTCTCTTTATTCTCCGATCATCATCATCACCATCATGCTCAGCCCAAAACTTCTCTTTCTCTGAGAGGTTTTCCATCACTTTAAGTTTCTCATCAAGCCAAGACAACTCCTTGTTCATTTTCTTTTCCCCTAGTACTTCCACTTGGCCCGTGGAAGTTGTGAAATTCAAGAACTGTTTGTAGTTCTTGGTGGGAGTGTTTACATAAGGAGGAGGATTTCTGAAACCTGAGCTTGACGACGAGAACAGAGATTTTGATGATGATGATGTTGTTGTGGCTGTTGAGTTCTAAAATGTTGTTGTGGCGGTTGAATTTAATTGGGAAAGCCAACGGATCGAGAAGTCGAAGAGGAGATCCATGGAGGTGGATGGATGAGGAGGAGGAGAAGAAGCAGTATCAGCCACAACAACATCATCATCATCATCATCAAAATCTCTGTTCTCGTCGTCAAGCTCAGGTTTCAGAACTCCTCCTTATGTAATATTAGTGGATTACGATTGTTTATATTTTAGAATGATTACAGTTAAATGGTTTGAATGTTGAAAAAGTTAGAAATTTGGAGGGACATATGTCATAAGAGTTTGTGTGACCCACTAAATGCGTGAGTGAAGAACTTAATTGAAGGAGAAGGTGGGCTCATTTGATTTTATGAGCTTTCTGATAAGGTGTAGGAAATTATTGGATAAGTTAGTAGTTCCCCCGTTTGCATTTGTCAAACGTTTTACTAAATGGGGATCTTCAAAGATTAATATAAAGGCACCATTCAGACCGAAACTCTTTGCTTACTCGCTGAGGTTAGTGAACTTTTTTGCAACCAGAATCTGACACGCTATTTGTTGTATCAGGATGCCACCAAAGAATACCAAATTTACGTTGGCAATGACCACCACCCAAAGAGCAGCTCAGCATGGCACTAAGACTATATCTTGTGCTATAAATTTGAAGTTGTATCGATATAGAGCCAGAGTTGATAGACACATCAAGAGTGGTTCCAAAGAAGGGTCAAGTGGTGGTGGATGTTACAATTTTAGAGTTGCAGATGTACTAGTAAACACCAAGGAATGATAGTCCAATAGAAGTTGGAGGAGCTTCACAACCGCCAACGGGAAACACCGTGAAACATCCACCTCCACCACTGCATATGGGAATGCAAGAAGAACCCTCGTATTGGGACATGATGAAACACATGAAGAACATGCGACGGAACTGTTCAGCGGGAGGACATATGCAATTGCAGCTGAGAACTGGAGGAGGCAGTTGGTCAGAAACTTTGGGTCAGTAAACATGACTCTAGAGCCTTGGAAAATTAACGGACCGGTCGTTGGAACAGGATGGGGCCCATGGGCTGAGAGAGCTGGCGTGCGTGGCCTATTAGCTGTGGGCGGTCGGAGCGTTACAAGTTGTATCAGAGCTGGTTAGCCATCTCAGTTCTGACCTGAGAGGCGTCTTGAGAATTGTCGTGGGGTGCAACGAGGACGTTGCGTTCTTTGAGAGGGGATGAATTGTAACATCCCGAGTTGTGATATATGGAAAGGCTTAAGAGGATTGATTTGGTTACCTATGTCACCAAAGTGCACTTACATTTTCGGGAGTACATCGAGAGAGAACTCCAGAGTTAAGCGTGCTTGAGCTGGAGTAGTCAATGGATGGGTGACCTATCGGGAAGTGAAATGCGATACCGTGTAAATGAGGCCAAAACATGGAGAAAGGTCATGTGGTGATTGCAGGGTCAGTAAACATGACTCTAAAGCCTTGAAAAATTAACAACCCGTTCCCCCGGTGTCCGACCGGGGTTCAGCAAACGGGTACTACGGACACGTGTCTACTCAATTTGACAACCCTACGTATCCCTTACTGGTCCCAGGAGTCGGCGGACGCGTCTTTCAATGGAATCCGATCCACCCGTATCCACATACTTCTACTTACAGTCCTGCGCAAATGGAATCAGAAATGGAGGGATGAGCAATTGGGGTTACTCAGTGAAGTGACTCTAGACCAGCCTGTCCGCATGATACTCTATGCTACCTCATACGGAAACCAGGACCGGCCAACCATTACAATCAATATGCAACATACAAGTCATACAGCAACATTTCAATCATAGAATTCTAGCACCCTAACGTGTATACACCGCAAGGACTCAGCCGTTGCTTTACATAGAATCAACCATGCAATCAACCTATTAACTAGACTCACCAAAAAACCTGGACTTAAGGATCTAGAACCGTTTACGGATGTCCCTACACGTTCCGGCCTAACATGGAAGGGGCGTCCTCTCTCGGGAAATCCGTCCCCCTTACAGCTTCCTAAATGACTATCCGAGTTGCAGCTCGTTGGCTCCCAGCACTGTCTGCCACCCCGGTCTTAATACCCATAATTATACCACATCTTGGTATTGACTCGATCCTAAGGCACCTATTTCTTATCCCGCAGGCCCCTACTAGAGGTCCCTTCTATGGTCACCGTCCTTTGACGGCCTTTCACATCTCGTCCACGGGTACCTCGTGTTAGGCTACTGTCCCGTGGGCCCCTGCGGGTACCTCTGGTTAGGCTACTATCCCGCAGGGTACACATCCTAGACTCTAGACGCCCACCCATTCTCGGTGGTCCAAATAGGACTTCAAACAAGTTCGTTGACACGACCACATTCTCATTCATGTTCTCATTCTCATCCTCATCCT